CATCTACAGTGGTCAGTATTGCGTCTGGTGTTATTTAGTCTACATTAACAAACTTTTACAAGGATCAGTATTATGTATATCAATGGTATACAGTACCGACAAGATGAAGAGTTAGACATATGTGAAACATCTGGGTATCTTTATTTTATAGACGTTTCGCCATCCGATGGCTTTATAAACACAATACAAGGACATAATATATATTTCCACAGTCTTCAGATTGTCTATGTATTGTATTGATAAAGCCACTGGATGGCGAAACATCTATAGCGTAAAGACATCCGGATGCTGATAAATGGTCAGTAGATAAATGGTTCAAAGAGCTGACAAGCTGATAAATCAGACACATGTGCAACACTTGGATATCTTTGTTATGGAAACGTTTCGCCATATAATGCTTTCATCAGTCCAATACAAAGAAGAATGGTGAAGCTCAGAAGTGTATGAGGTAATCAGTCCCTTAGCCTGGAGCTGATGTAATCCGTCCATCAGTCTTGATAAGAATATAGCATATGCACTGTTGTAGATTCGCCGGTACAATCGCCCGGCCCGGGCCTTGTCGAAGAGGTGGCCCGGCCTTGGCTCCCTGTCCCGGGAGTGTCTTAGACCATGTCTGCAATGGGAGGAGGTACAAGTACCTCCTCGTCTTCTAGGACAAGCTGTCCCCAGGCCTAGCCCCATTTCCCGCCCTCATGTGTCTCGGAGGGAGAAGCTAGGCACCTTGGGCTGCCACAAACCCCGCCCACACTGGGCTCGAAGGGTGTGGCAGCTGCATAGCAGCAGACGATGTCAAGAGGTGCAAAGGCACCAATTACTACAGGATCCTTTTGGAGTCACCTCCAGCTTTAGACATTATGTCTGAGGCTGGTGAAGCTCAAGAATGCCTCTTGCTGTGAGTGTTGCTGCTGCTAGTTCACTTGTCCGTTGCACTCCCTGAGCATATGCGCGAAGGGGACTTATATACTGTAGACAACTGAGGTGAAGCAGTCGTGGATGTTCAACATGTGTCTAATTCATCAGTCAGTATTATGGCCAGAATTGTTCGAGCTGTACCTGAACTGTGTCAGTATTGTGCCCAGTATTGTTTTATCTACATTAAGTATCGTACCCAGATGCGAGAGTCTTCTTCGCCTCCCGGTAGACCCCTTGAAACTTACACGATTATACACTTAGGGTTTAATTAGTTCACTTCTTCAATATTCTTCCCTGACCGTAACGTATAAATTACCCAGTCAAAAACTTTTTCTTTGTCGCTACTTAAGGTTGCTGGGAGGGAACAACAAGGTTGCTGGGAGGGAACAACAAGGTTGCTGGGAGGGAACAAAATATATAATACTACACAGGATTTATTACCAAGATTTATTGTATTGAACAGCTAAGGAAAACAGGTTAGAAAATAACTGACGAGAATTATGAGGTATCCCCGAAGGAATACCTTTAAGTGCTTGAGTGACTTTTAAGTTCCTCCAATTTTTCGATTTCATTTCGCTCATAACTCAGCACCAGGAAATACATTGGCAGAACAAAACGACATTATTCACCAAACAATCTTGTATACAATTTTAATTTTTAATTTATTCTCTACTGTATGCTTGATGGACCAAGTACTGGTTTAGAAGCCTCTGTCTCTACAGACAATATTCATGATCTGTATGTGAAATTTATATAAATCACAGAATTCACCATTCTGTAGAGTCAGTAAAGTAAATATCGAGATCGTCGCTGGAACTCGCAGGGAACATAAAGCAGGTCAATGTATCGTATCACAATCTGAATGAACATGGAACAGCTATGGCTTGGTAAGACGTATGACATGACAGGTGACAGCTACCGTAATAGGACCAGACTCATGGTATTCCATATTCATTGAGAAAATCCATACCACACGCTCAGAAAACACTGGCAACTCCACTCCACAAAGGTGGCATGAAGACATTGCAAAAAAATAATAAATAAATAAATAAATAAACTATAGATCAATAGCACTGATGATTAACTATAATCAACAGTTTTGAAAGTGTGTTGAGAAGCAAGATTAGTCAACACGTGGAATTACAACATAAACAACCCAGGGCAACATGGGTTTAGAGCAAGTTACTTCTGCATTTAGCGGTTGTTACACCAGTACTACTTGTCTTAGAGACTCTGGAAGACTACAGAACTTAGATGTAATATACAAAGACTTTGCGAAATGATTCTACAAGTGTGATCAGAGTGAAATAACACACAAAATGAGTTCAAAAGGAATAACTAGAAATATAGACAGATGCTTTTTTGAAAAGTAGGCAGACGGATCTCTGATTTTATTGCAAATCAGAAGCCGCCCTTTCCCCATAAGTAAAGCATCAAGGTAAAACGTAAAGCTCTGACTGGAAAACTTTTTCCCCACAGCTCAGCAGCAATATGTGACCGAAACTACATTAGCGTTTGTTTTTATTACAAAAAAATGATAATCCATGGTCTCAGACCATGGCAGACATGGTCTGAGACACTCCCTCGACAGGGAACCAAGGCCGGACCACCTCTTGGAAAAGGCCCGGGCCGGGCAATTATACCGGCGAATTTACAACAGAACAGACCTGCATGGATTAGCTTCCGTCAGTGATAGAGAAAAAACTTCACACGCTGCAAATCGATTCTATCACTGATACTCTGTAAACAATTCCACGTTGACGAAGGACAGTTTTTTTAATCACACTAAGAAAAAACAAAAAACTAGGTATAAAACACAGTGAAATCAAACAAGTGAAATAGGAATATCAGGGAGGTGAATATTTATTTCGGTCATATTCTATTCAAGAAACACACTGTAGTTACGAAAATTAATTCAGTATATGTTTAACTTATTTTGCAAAAGGAGAATAAAACATAGTTAAAACATTAAATGTTTTATATAAAATGAATAAAATCAACAAAAAAAACATGTATTTCCCTTAAAGTAAGGAGACTCAATAAAGCAGACCCATGTATTGAGTAGCAACAGGGGTTTTACCCCGTTATGTTCTGTTCCCGGGAAAAACCTTTCAAGCTAACCTTTCCCGACCTAACCCTTTCCTAACCTAACCTAACCCTTTCCTAACCCAAACCCAAACCCAACCCAACCCAACCTAACCCAACCTAACCCAACCTAACCTAACCTTTCCAACCAACCTTCTAACCCAACCCAATAACCTTACCAACCTAACCTTCCTAACCAACTTTACCTAACCTAACCCTAACCCAATAAAACCCTTTCCTTTTCCTACCCAATTAACCTAAACCCAGCCTAACCCAACCTTACCTAACCTAACCTAACCTAACCTTACCTAGCCCAAATAACCTAACCTAAACCCAACCAACCTAACCTAATCTTACCCAACCAACCAAACCCAACCCAACCTTACCTAACCTTTCCTAACCTAACCTAAATTTTAACCCACCTTACCTAACCCAACCAACCTAACCTAACCTAACCTTACCCCTTTCCTTACCTAAACCCAACCTAACTAACCTTTTTTAAAAACCTTAACCCAAACCCTTTCCCAACCTAACCTAAGTAACCAACCTTTCCCTTAACCCTTACCTGACCTTTCCTAACCTTTCCTAACCCAATAACCTTACCTTACCTAACCTAACCTAACCTTACCTTACCTGACATAACCTTACCTTACCTTACCTGACCTAACCTAATCTTACCTAACCTTACCTAACCTAACCTAACCTAACCTTACCTAACCTTACCTGACCTAACCTAACCTAACCTAAAATAACCTACCTAACCAAAACCTAACCTTACCTAACTTTTACCTAACTAACCTAACCTAACCTAACCTAACCTAACTTACCTACCTAACTTAACCTAACCTAACCTTACCTAACCTAACCTATACCTAACCTTACCTAACCTTACCTAACCTAACCTAACCAAACCTTACCTTACCTAACCTAACCTAACCTAACCTTACCTGATCTAACCTTACCTAACCTTACCTACCTTACCTACCTAACCTAACCTTACCTAACCTTACCTAACCTAACCTTACCTAACCTTACCTAACCTAACCTAACCTAACCAAACCTTACCTAACCTAACCTTACCTATTACCTAACCAAACCTAACAACCTTACCTAACCTAAACCTAACCTAACCTAACCTAACCTAACCTAACCTAACCTTACCTTACCTAACCTAACCTAACCTTACCTGACCTACCTAACCTAACCTAACCTAACCTTACCTTTAAACCCTGACCTAACCTAACCTTACTGACCTAACCTAACCTAACCTTACCTTACCTAACCTAACCTAACCTTACCTGACCTAACCTAACCAAACCCTTTAACCTAACCTAACCTTACCTTAACCTTACCTTACCTAACCTAACCTACCTGACCTAACGCTTACCTAACCTAACCTAACCTTACCTGACCTAACCTAACCTTACCTGACCTAACCTAACCTAACCTATACCTAACCTAACCTAACCTTACCTACCTAACCTAACCTAACCTACCTACCTAACCTAACCTAACCTAACCTTACCTGACCTAAACCTTACCTACCTAACCTAACCTAACCTAACCTAACCTTACCTACCTACAACCTAACCTAATAACCTAACCTAACTCTTACCTAACCTAACCTAACCTAACACCTAACCTAACCTAACTTCTACCTAACCTACCTAACCTAACCTAACCTAAACCTAACCTAACCTAACCTAACCTAACCTACACTACAACCTAACCTAACCTAACCTAACCTAAACCTACTAACCTTACCTAACCTAACCCAACCTAACCTTACTTGCCCTAACCTAACCTAACCTAACTTAATCAACATGTTTCTCCTATCTACAATCTCGTGGTTACATCTTTACCACAATTTTTTTTACATGGAAAACCGTATTCCTATAACCACAAATGCGTAACTGCATATAAACTAAATTAACCAGTCGATCAAAGGTTGAGGTTAGTGCACACACTTGTAGTTTGATACAAAAACGGTAGAGCCACAGCGGAAGGCCTCGGTCAGATGACCAAAAGCTCCAGTTACGGGTCATCATATGAGTAAGACCCGCGTCAAGAAACACTTGTCCTGTTTCCTGGCAAACTTTACCTAACTTAGTCTCAGTCTAAATTCTCACTGCAGGACAATGATGCATCTCCAGTGACAACAATAATCTGTACTTGCCACTGATTTTTTTTTAAACCTTTACAAGTAACAACGTATAATGCAGAATCACGATTCGCAATAACGTTGCCAGGTTCAGTTCGTGGAAGCTGCAACTCTCCTTACCTCACCTACAATAAATTAATCTTAATTAACCTAACATTACGGCAAAAGTGAAATGTTACTTATGCATTGTATGCAAACTTCACCTTATAAGCGATATATTGTATGTTCTCGAGAACTACAAAGCCCCGCTCCAGAACATTGTCCTGGGAAATATAAGAACAAATGCATGTTCTCCAGCGTGTAAGCTGAATTTCAACTCTTTGGACATGATGTAAGATTGTTACCAATGGACAGGAAGGTAGATGGGATGGGTGAGCTGAGTTGGTGGGTAGTACAAACACATGACTGTGCTTATATTAATGACGATTTTTCGCTGAAGGAAAACTTTATCGAAAAGCGAAATATTGGCTGGCAATCTTCCTTGTTGCCACCATCAGGGCGAAGGGAGGAGGGGATGCTACCAGGTAACTTCATGAACCTACGTTACTATCAGGAAGACAAGGGCTACCAGTTGACTAACAACAGTAGGACAGGGGCTACCAGTTGACTAACAACAGGACAAGGGCTACCAGTTAACTACCAACAGTAGAACAGGAGCTACCAGTTAACTACCGACAGGAGGACAGGGGCTACCAGTTAACTACCAACAGGAGAACAGGGGCTACCAGTTAACTACCAACAGGAGGACAGAGGCTACCAGTTGACTAACAGGAGGACAGGGACTACCAGTTGACTACCAACAGGAGAACAGGGGCTACCGGTTGACTAACAACAGGACAGGGACTACCAGTTGACTACCAACAGGAGGACAGGGGCTACCAGTTGGCTACCAACAGGAGGACAGGGACTACCAGTTGACTACCAACAGGAGGACAGGGGCTACCATTTGACTACCAACAGAAAGGCAGGGGCTATCAGTTAATTGCCAACAGGACGATACGGGCTACAAGTTAACTACCAACAAGACAGGGGTTACCAGTTATCTATCAAGAAGAAGACAGGGGCTACCAGTTAACTACCAACAGGAGCACAGGGGCTACCAGTTGACTTCACGACCCCACACTACCTCCCTCCAGGCTCCTGCTGCACGAGACTGGATGAGACGGAAGCCGTGACACTTCAGCATCATGAAGTACGGCCAGAACACATGCTGTCTGCTTGTCTGACTCAGATCATCTGCAACCAAATGCATTAATAAGTTAATGTTATAATAATGGGGCAGCGCTAAACCAGCAGGGTAATCAGACGTGTGGATAAATGATATTTATGGCCGATGAAATCACTCGTGGAGAAACAATAATACATAATAATAACGTATATATTTAAGAGTGACGGTACGATCATCAGGAACAGCCTCCAAGTATGCTCCAGGTATACAACATATTAAGGCTATAACCTGCAACACAAGTGTTTCGATCAGGACTCAGTAAAGTATATCCACTTAATAATAATAATAATAATAATAATAATAATAATAATAATTATTATTATTATTTCTGAGGATATATGTTAGCACTGATATAGACCTCGCTGACATAATTTGCCCCCTGGTTATGCAGAGTATTTCCGGTAACTTGGGTTAATCTTATCCCCCAGGATGCGACCCACAACAGTCGGCTAATACCCAGGAACCTACATACTAATAGGTGAACAGGGGCAGCACGTGTGAGGAAACATGCCCAACGTTTCACCCATAAATGAAACAGTTTCATTTATGTTGTTTATTTTACCAATTATCATATACATCAATGACAATAAATTAATAAACACGAGACTATTATATGAGAAAACGGGAATCCGGTGGGAATTATTATTATAATCAAAAGGAGGCGCTAAACCAAAGTGTGTGTAATAAATCAGGGATCGATCCCGGACATCCAGTGTGTGAGCTAAGTACGCTAACAAAACAGTACCAAGACATCTCATTTCATGAACCAAATTGTTGTAGATTATATCTGAGATTGCAAATTATAACATTCTAGTAAATTATCCTAATTAAATAATTCGTTAGTTTAAGTTACTTTTAAGGTTGCCGATATGCTCTGTATAACAAGGGGATTTCTATAATGCCAGTAATGTTAACTAATCCTATATAAATCGTTTACAGTGGAGCCTCGGTGTTTGAACTTAATTGGTTCCTAAGTGGTGTTGGAAATGCGAAAAGTTCGATATGGGAAATAGGATTTTCCAGGCTTTAATTATCAGCCTCACGTACTGGAGGATGTTGATCTGACTCTTCCAAAAGTCTCTGAGAATTAGATCAATGTCAGAGGTCTCTTCAAGGCTCTTTTAAAACATGGATTTCTTGTAATTTTTTTTTTACAACTGAATTTTCAACAAGTGAGCGTGTTCGAACCCCAGAAAAACATTCAAAGACCAGGTAAATTTTTTCCGGACAAAATTGTTTGGACTCCTGTTTGTACGAGGTCCGGTACGTTCGAAAACCGAGGTTCTACTGTACTTTACAGAGACAGAAATTATCATTACCATAATCATTTTCATTATCAATGCGACATTAAAATGTTAAAGTCGTAATTTAAGTGTGGTACGTCCACAGTCTTCCCACCGGCTATCTCATGGAGAGGCGTCCTGTTCCACTTTGTGAGAATTATCTAGTTCCTGTTTCAGTTTCTCATAATCTATTGCACTGTCCTGTCTGTCAACGAGCACGAAGAAGTTTCCTATGATGTCGTCACCGCTCTAACACCCTCACTTTATTTTCCCTCCTCGCTGACGGCCCCACCTTCGACACAAATTCCCTCTTCGACTTTTTGACACCAACTGATTTATTACACAGATTTTGGTTTAGCGCTTCCTTTTGATTATAATAATAATTCCCATCGGCTTCCCGTTTTCTCTCATCAAAATAATCTCGTGTTTATTAATTTATTGCCATTAATGCATGTTATAATTTGTAAAATAAAGAACATAAATAAATATACACATATTCATTTGTGTATGCTATTTGAATGATGCCAACTTGTGCAAAATCAATATAAGTCACCTTTGAACCAGCCGTCGTGTACTTCCATGGCGATCTGTTTGATATTCCTGAGGACGTGCGGGGAATTGAACAACATATCCTGCAGGAAGTCCACCTCCGACAGCTCTACATCCAGCTTCACGAAGTCTATCTGCGTCCCTGCCAGGCCAACGTCCTTCACCATGTTCTCAAAGCGATCCACCTATGAACACATGTTTCATTAACACACAGACGTGAAGTCACATGCAGGCGCAACACCATTAAAACGTAATAGCGTAGCCCAGTGGTGTCAGAGACTGTTGTAGCCATTATTTGTACCCCGGTTGGGACTAGTTATGTCAGAGTGGTGTTATTGGGGTTGTTTAAAACTCACTCATTTATATCTCAGTAAACTGTTACCCAATATCATTACTTCGACTTTGCTAAGTAAATGGTACTCGTATTTAAGATTTAGCTTCCCTTGCGATTTACTGTGTGAGAACTCTTATCTGTCACTAGAACACAAATTAAATTGACTTTAATGCATATTTTGAAGTTTGACAAGTACTGTCGCAAGATACATTACTTTTGCTTCCTGGAATATCAATACTGACTCTTCATTATTTTTTTAAGCTTACTACACAAGAGGAAAGACGTACCTCTCAGGATATAAGTAAATTTCTGGCCTGGTGGGAAGAGCGTATTATCACCCCATTACTGATTCTTCCGGTGTGTACTCCACTACCTGCTCCCCTGCCCTCTGATGCTTGTGAAACTGATCGCTCTCCCTCCCTCTCTCTTAGTAACCGGTTGTCAAAGACACTTGTTGATACACACGCTGTTTCGCCCGCGCGCGCGCGCGTGTGTAAGCGAGTATGAGTCCCTGATAGACTCAAGAAAAACGAAAGAAGTGTTTGCCTGTTTGCCTTACTGACACTGGTAATACTTTTTCCTGTCATGTTAGATATTACAGCCATCCTAGTAACTAGTCTTTTAGTAAGACTATCTACTCTTCTAGCCTTCACAGACGCCGTCTTCTTGAAATAACACATAAACATGAATCTTACCCGTGATTTTTTTTCTATAGATATCTGCCTTTCTCAATACATTGTTCAGTGCTCTTGTCTTCAGAAAGCTGGTGGCTTGACCTGACCTCTGCCTCCTCCTCCTTTCCTCTTGACATGTATTTCCTTTGCCTTTCCTGTTTTCTAACTTTACCAAATTCTTGTTTCTTTCCCTAGCATGAGTCAGTCGGTCTCGCTGCAGCGCTTCTCTAAGTTAACTTACTTTGACCTCCACTACCCTGAGATATAATTCACTCTCATAACTATTATCAGTCGTGGCTGGCGTGGGCCAGTACATCTGCGGTACTCTGTTCATTTGCACTTATGTACGACAACAACTACTTCTACTGTTATTCCTACGTTTTACACATCCTTTCACTGTTACTACCACACGCTTCACTGTTACTACTACGTAAACGCTTCACTGTTAGTACTGCACGCTTCACTGTTACTACTACACGCTTCACTGTTACTACTACGTAGACGCTTCACTGTTACTACTACACGCTTCACTGTTACTAGTACACGCTTCACTGCTAGTACTACACGCTTCACTGTTACTACTACACGCTTCACTGTTACTACTACACGCTTCACTGTTACTACTACACGCTTCACTGTTAGTGCTACACACTTCACTGTATCTACTACGTACACGCTTCACTGTTAGTACTGCATGCTTTACTGTTACTACTACGTACACGCTTCACTGTTAGTACTGCACGCTTTACTGTTACTAGTACACGCTTCACTGTTAGTACTACACGCTTCACTGTTACTACTACACGCTTCACTGTTACTACTACACGCTTCACTGTTACTACTACACGCTTCACTGTTACTACTACTATTATTACTACTGCCACGATTTCATTATTATTACTACTCCCACCATTGCTGCTGTCATTGCTACTACTACTACTACTATTGTTAATTCAACTGCTACTACTACTACTATTATTCTACTACTGCTACTGCTAATTACACTATTACTACTACCATTCCTACCGCTTCCTTCTTTCTCCCTCTCTCCTCCTGGCCTTTGGTCTTTTCTGCATTTCTCTCTTTGTGACTTGACAATGGTCCAGGACGGACAGAAATGTCGTCATAAGTGTCCTCTACTAGGTGCGGGTTATTGGTGAATTACCAAACGATACAATCAGTTGATATCAGCTCTGTTAGTGACGATAAAAGTCCAAGGTCCCGTATAACTGACTTAGCGTCTCGTGACCACTCACCTAGTTGAGGTTGCAGGGGTCGAGTCCAAGGTGTGTGTGTGTGTGTGTGTGTGTGTGTGTGTACTTACCTAGTTGTGGTTGCAGGGGCCAAGTCATAGCTCCTGACCCCGTCTCTTCAATGGCCGCTACTGGGTCACTCTCCCTGCACCATGAGCTTTATCATACCTCGTCTTAAAACTATGTATGGTTCCTGCCCCCAATACATCACTTGCCAGACTGTGTGTGTGTGTGTGTACATATCTCATGCCACTACCTACCATCTACCTACCTACTAACCATCTTTACCATCCCGTCAATGTTCCACACTGTCAACTACACATTCTCAAGGACCTCAGATAACACTTTTTTATAACCGAAATTTATTTCTCATATATTATGGATGGAACTGTAATCGGAATTATACGAATACGAGGTGGTATCAAAAAGTTCCTGGACTGCCGCGGAAACAAATATATATAGGCTTACTTAATCGCCTACATGGCGTTATGTAACTGAAAATACTCTCCTTGCGAGTATATATATTGATCCCAGCGCCTCTTGTTATTTCTCAAAATATTTTTCGAACTTTTCTTCCTGACGGTGTCTATCGCAGCCTGTGATTCTTCTTGAATTTCCTCCATGTCGTTAAAACGCCGTCCCTTGACTGCCATTTTTGTTTTGGTGACTGGATTTGGGGAGTATTGAGGGTCGGGGACGACTGCCATGTCACTTTTAGCCATAAAATGAAGGTCTTTCTTGTTTTGAGTCATCAAGCGGGGAACAGTTTTTGCAGTCACTGGCCGCATGTTCAAATTTTTAGTCAAAATGCCTGATACAATCCTCGTGAATAGCCTTCACTTTTTTTTTTTCAATGTTGGTGTCTGTTTTTGACGTTGATGGATAACCAGTGTTAATCATCTTCAACTGACAGTCGTTCTGCTTTGAATCAAGAAAATCATTCAAAACAACGCTGTGTCCTACCCACTGTCTCATCGACAAATGCTTTCTGAAGCATTTTGGGGTTTCACTAGTCGTTTTGTCGAGTCTGGAACAGAATTTTACACACACACACACACACACACACACACACACACACACACACACACACACACACACACACACACACACACACACACGCACACACACACGCACACACACACACACACACACACACACACACACACACACACAACAAGAAATGACCGTGAAGTATGTGAAGAACTCAACAAGAGATTCAAAGAAGTGTTCACAGAGGAGACAGAAGGGACTCCAGAAAGACGGAGAAGTGGGGCACACCACCAAGTGCTGGACACAGTGCACACAACCGAGGAAGAAGTGAAGAGGCTTCTGAGTGAGCTAGATACCTCAAAGGCAATGGGGCCAGATAACATCTCCCCATGGGTATTGAGAGAGGGAGCAGAGGCGCTATGTGTACCCCTAACAACAATATTCAATACATCTATCGAAACAGGGAGATTGCCTGAGGCATGGAAGACAGCAAATGTAGTCCCAATCTTTAAAAAAGGAGACAGACATGAAGCATTAAACTACAGACCAGTGTCACTGACATGTATAGTATGCAAAATCATGGAGAAGATTATCAGGAGAAGAGTGGTGGAACACCTAGAAAGGAATGATCTCATCAACAGCAGCCAACATGGTTTCAGGGACGGGAAATCCTGTGTCACAAACCTACTGGAGTTCTATGACATGGTGACAGCAGTAAGACAAGAGAGAGAGGGGTGGGTGGATTGCATTTTCTTGGACTGCAAGAAGGCGTTTGACACAGTTCCACACAAGAGATTGGTGCAAAAACTGGAGGACCAAGCAGGGATAACAGGGAAGGCACTACAATGGATCAGGGAATACTTGTCAGGAAGACAGCAGCGAGTCATGGTACGTGGCGAGGTGTCAGAGTGGGCACCTGTGACCAGCGGGGTCCTGCAGGGGTCAGTCCTAGGACCATGCTGTTTCTGGTATTTGTGAACGACATGACGGAAGGAATAGACTCTGAGGTGTCCCTGTTTGCAGATGACGTGAAGTTGATGAGAAGAATACACTCGATCGAAGACCAGGCAGAACTACAAAGGGATCTGGACAGGCTGCAGACCTGGTCCAGCAATTGGCTCCTGGAGTTCAATCCCACCAAGTGCAAAGTCATGAAGATTGGGGAAGGGCAAAGAAGGCCGCAGACGGAGTACAGTCTAGGGGGTCAGAGACTACAAACCTCACTCAAGGAAAAAGATCTTGGGGTGAGTATAACACCAGGCACATCTCCTGAAGCGCACATCAACCAAATAACTGCTGCAGCATATGGGCGCCTAGCAAACCTCAGAACAGCATTCCGACATCTTAATAAGGAATCATTCAGGACCCTGTACACCGTGTATGTTAGGCCCATATTGGAGTATGCGGCACCAGTTTGGAACCCACACCTAGCCAAGCACGTGAAGAAACTAAAAGAAAGTGCAAAGGTTTGCAACAAGACTAGTCCCAGAGATAAGAGGTATGTCCTACGAGGAGAGGTTAAGGGAAATCAACCTGACGACACTGGAGGACAGGAGAGATAGGGGGGACATGATAACGACATACAAAATACTGAGAGGAATTGACAAGGTGGACAAAGACAGGATGTTCCAGAGATTGGACACAGTAACAAGGGGACACAGTTGGAAGCTGAAGACACAGATGAATCACAGGGATGTTAGGAAGTATTTCTTCAGCCACAGAGTAGTCAGTAAGTGGAATAGTTTGGGAAGCGATGTAGTGGAGGCAGGATCCATACATAGCTTTAAGCAGAGGTATGATAAAGCTCACGGCTCAGGGAGAGTGACCTAGTAGCGATCAGTGAAGAGGCGGGCCAGGAGCTCGACTCGACCCCCACAACCTCAACTAGGTGAGTACACACACACACACACACACACACACACACACACACACCACACACACCACGACACGCACACGCACACACACGCACACACACGCACACACACACACGTACACACGCACACACACACACACACCACACACACACACACACACACAACACACACACACACACACACACGAAAGGAGGAATGGGAGGAAATGACAAAGAAGAGCAGAATAACCCAGGCACAGGTGGAAGGGCAAGCACACCCCCCAGAAACACCGGCAGAAGGACTCAAAGCACGACACCCCCAAGGCAAGTGAACAATCTAAACCAACCATCACACGCCGATCCCTCTGTTCCCACCCCCCGCACCACGAACCCTACCCCTACAGAAACCCCCTATGGGAGCTCTTCCTCCACCTCCACTGCAACCCCCCCATAGGCCCCCACCAGGGCTCCTGCTCTCCCAACCCCAGTATTCCCCCAGGACCACAGTTACAGTATTAGAACAGAAGTTGAAGGTTTGCTACACAAATGCGGATGGATTAACGAATAAATATGAGGAATGCCAAGAAAGAATCAATGAGAAGTCCCCAGACATCATAGCAGTTACAGAAACAAAACTCACGGAGACAATAACAGATGCAATCTTCCCACCAGGATACCAGATCATGAGGAAAGATAGAAGGGGCAGAGGGGGAGGAGGGGTTGCTCTGCTCGTAAAAAACCGATGGAAATTCGAGAAAATGGGAGGCATAGACGAGACAGTAGAAAGGGATTATATAGTTGGTACACTTCAGTCTGGGGAGCACAAGGTGGTCATTGCAGTGATGTATAATCCACCACAGAACTGCAAGATGCCAAGAGAGGAATATGAAGAGAGCAACAGAGCAATGGTGGGCACACTTGCTGAGGTGGCAAGAAGAGCTCACTCCAGCAGAGCAAAGTTGCTGGTTATGGGTGATTTCAACCACAGGGAGATTGACTGGGGAAACCGGGAGCCCCATGGGGGTCCCGAAACCTGGAGAGCCAAGATGTTGGATGTGGTGCTGGAAAACCTCATGCACCAACATGTTAAGGACACTACCAGAGTGAGAGGAGAGGAATAACCAGCAAGATTGGACCTTGTGTTCACCCTGGGCAGTTCAGACATTGAGGACATCACATATGAGAGTCCCCTAGGAGCTAGTGACCACGTGGTTCTGTGCTTTGAATACATAGTAGAGTAACAGGAGTTGAATGGGAAAAGCCAGGCTATAAATGAAGGGACTACATAGGTTTGAGGACAGAGAACTGGCAGGAAAGCCAGTAAATGAAATGATGGAATATGTAACAACAAAATGCAAGGAGGCAGTGGAAAGGTTTATTCCCAAGGGCAACAGAAACAATGGGAAGACCAGAACGAGCCCCTGGTTAACCCGACGGTGTAAGGAGGCAAAAACAAAGTGCAATAGAGAATGGAAAAAGTACAGAAGGCAGAGAACACATGAAAATAGGGAGATTAGTCGCAGAGCCAGGAACGAGCATGCACAGGTAAGGAGGGAGGCCCAGCGACAGTATGAAAATAACATAGCATCGAAAGTCAAGACTGACCCGAAACTGTTGTATAGCCACATCAGGAGGAAGACAACAGTCAAAGACCAGGTGATCAGACTGAGGACAGAAGGTGAACTCACAAGAAATGATCAGGAGGTATGTGAGGAGCTAAACAGGAGATTTAAGGAAGTTTTTACAGTAGAGACAGGAAGGGCTCTGGGTAGACAGCACAGAAAGGAACATCAAGAGGGAATATACCAACAAGTGTTGGATGACATACGAACAACCGAGGAGGAGGTGCAGAAGCTCCTAAGTGACCTTGATACCTCAAAGGTGATGGGACCGGGCAACATCTCCCCGTGGGTCCTTAGAGAAGGAGAAGAGATGCTGTGCGTGCCCCTAACCACAATCTTCAACACATCCCTTGAAACTGGGCAACTACCTGGGAAATGGAAAACAGCAAATGTAGTCCCCATATTTAGGAAGGAAACAGAAACGAGGCACTAAACTACAGACCTGCGTCTCTGACATGTATAGTATGCAAAGTCATGGAGAAGATTATCAGTAGGAGAGTGGTGGAACACCTGGAACGGAACAAGATTATAAATGAAAACCAGCATGGGTTCATGGAATGCAAATCCTGTGTCACAAACCTTCTGGAGTTTTATGACAAGGTAACAGAAGTAAGACACGAGAGAGAGGAGTGGGTTGATTGCATTTTCCTGGACTGCAGGAAGGCCTTTGACACAGTTCCTCACAAGAGATTAGTGCAGAAGCTGGAGGATCAAGCGCATATAACAGGGAGGGCACTGCAATTGATCAGGGAATACCTGATAGGTAGGCAACAACGAGTCATGGTACGTGAAGAGGTATCACAGTGGGCGCCTGTGACGAGCGGTGTCCCACAGGGGTCAGTTATAGGACCAGTGCTATTTTTGATATATGCGAACAACATGATGGAAGGAATAGACTCTGAAGTGTCCCTATTCGCAGATGATGTGAAGCTGATGAGAAGAATTAAATCGGATGAGGATGAGGCAGGACTGCAAAGAGACCTGGACAGGCTGGACACGTGGTCCAGAAACTGGCTTCTCGAATTCAACCCTGCCAAACGCAAAGTCATGAAGATTGGGGAGGAACAAAGAAGACCGCAGACAGAGTACAGGCTAGGTGGACAAAGACTACAGCCCTCACTCAGGGAGAAAGATCTTGGAGTGACCATAACACCGAGCACGTCACCGGAGGCACACATCAACCAAATAACTGCTGCAGCATACGGGCGCCTGGCAAACCTGAGAATAGCGTTCCGATACCTTATTAAGGAATCGTTCAAGACACTGTACACTGTGTATGTTAGGCCCATACTGGAGTATGCAGCACCAGTCTGGAACCCACACCTAGTCAAGCACGTCAAGAAGTTAGAGAAAGTACAAAAGTTTGCAACAGGGCTAGTTCCAGAGCTCAGGGGAATGTCGTACGAGGAAAGGTTGAGGGAAATCGAACTGACGACACTGGAGGACAGAAGGGTCAGGGGAGACATAATAACGACATACAAGATACTGCGGGGAATAGACAAGGTGGACAGAGACAGGATGTTCCAGAGGGGACACAGAAACAAGGGGTCACAATTGGAAGCTGAAGACTCAGACGAGTCACAGGGACGTTAGGAAGTATTTCTTCAGTCATAGAGTCGTCAGGAAGTGGAATAGCCCAGCAAGTGATGTAGTGGAGGCAGGAACCATACATAGTTTTAAGAAGAGGTATGACAAAGCTCAGGAAGCAGAGAGGGAGAGGACCTAGAAGCGATCAGTGAAGAGGCGGGGCCAGGAGCTGAGTCTTGACCCCTGCAACCACAATTAGGTGAGTACAATTAGGTGAGTATACACACACACTGATCTTTCTTTAAAGACTCCGTTCTGTTGCACAATGAAATGCAACAACACACTGACAAAGCGACATAAAACGCCTAACCGAAACGGACTGACCGACTGCACTGACACGCTCCTCACTACTTCAAAAAGGAATGTACAGCGCATCTACGCCGCCGCCGTATTTCACCCAAATTTTCCAATAGCACCTCGGAAAAGATCGGATTCAGAGAGTTGACCTACCTTTCGTGTGGCCCAGATGTTGTCCATGCCAATCTTCTTGGTGCCCTTATAGTTAGCGATGCCCACAGCGAAGAACTGAACATTGGCTGAATGTTGGTGATCCTCCTTGCCCATGGTGGGGTCGTAGGCATACACCTATCAACATCGAAAAACATTAGCTAGATTATATATATATATATATATATATATATATATATATATATATATATATATATATATATATATATATATATATATATATATATATATATATATATATATATATGCAATAAGATCACAGTAAACAGGTGATTTCAGAATATGCAAAACAACCACTCTGAAAGAATAGAGAAATTCCAAGCGCTTTCGTGACTACTCACATTATCAAGTAACTATGAAAGTAAAGCATCCAAGGAAGCTATATAAGGGGTCTGGCCAACACCTCACTATCAGATCCCACAACGGTTAAACACCTGACGTGCGCCGGCCCAACTGGACAGGTCCTTTGCACAACTCACCAACAAACTATTCTACCCAAGAAAATTTAAAAATTATTATTTGTCCAGTGTATTATTAAATTCTTCCCAAATTCTATTAATTATAAATGGATCTAATTTATATAAACCAAAGGAAATATTCATATTATTGTCAAAACTGCTTTTTATGAAACAAGATACAATTATATTCCTGTCGACCATGGACTTGCTTGATACTACTTTCTCAACTTTTTGAAAATCAATTGGATGGTTAAAATCTCTTACATGAACAAATAGAGCATTGGAATCTTGTCCAGTTCTAATGCTATATTTATGTTGTTTTAATCTTAGTTCGAGATTTTTACCAGTTTGACCGTAATAAACTTTATCGCAAATTTTACAAGGAACCTTATAGACACATCCATCAGCATTTTGGGGGGAATTCTTTATCAAAAGTTTTTTTACTGTATCAAGATTTTTTTAATACAACTTTAATATTAAAAGTCTTAAGAAGAGAAGGCATATCAACCAAGTTTTCATGGTAAGGGAGAACCAACATATTTTTAGTTGAATAAGGCTGGTTGTCCCTTTTTGAATTGTAAAAAGTATTTCTAGCAACTTTAAAAGATTTATCAATTACATTTCTTGGGTATTTTAAATCATTACCTATTTCATAAATTTTAGATATTTCCTCATCTGTGAACTCAGGACTACAAATTCGTAAAGCTCTCAAAAACATTGATGAGAAAACAGACAGTTTGACTCTATCTTGATGCGAGGAATAATAGTGGACATAGGAACAGTTATTTGTAGGTTTTCTGTAAATTTTAAATTTGAATTCATTATTACCCTTAATAATTAAAACATCTAGAAAAGGCAATGAGTTATTTTCTTCAAACTCAACAGTAAAGTTTATGGAATGGGCTAAGTTATTTAATTTTCCAAGGAAATGGTGTATATCTACATTTTTGGGCATAAGACACAAAATATCATCAACATATCTGAACCATTTAGCTCTATTAGGGAGGATTGTGTTAAGCAACCTTGTTTCAAAAAATTCCATGTATAGGTTACTAAGAACAGGTGAAAGAGGATTTCCCATTGCCATACCAAACTTCTGAGTGTAAAACTTATCATTAAATACAAATTTTGCATCAACAATGCAAAGTTTAATAAGTTTAATGATAGTAGGAACTGGCAATGGTAAATCATAGTTAACGAGTTCTTCAGTAAGAAACTTAAAAATCATCAACAGGAACTTTCGTAAACAAGGAAGTAACATCAAAACTAACCATGTTAAAATCATTTAAGTCAGTCAAGGAGCTTAATTTATCAACCATTGCCATACCAACCAGAAGTTTGGTATGGCAATGGGAAATCCTCTTTCACCTGTTCTTAGTAACCTATACATGGAATTTTTTGAAACAAGGTTGCTTAACACAATCCTCCCTAATAGAGCTAAATGGTTCAGATATGTTGATGATATTTCGTGTCTTATGCCCAAAAATGTAGATATACACCATTTCCTTGGAAAATTAAATAACTTAGCCCATTCTATAAACTTTACTGTTGAGTGTGAAGAAAATAACTCATTGCCTTTTCTAGATGTTTTAATTATTAAGGGTAAAATGAATTCAAATTTAAAATTTACAGAAAACCTAACAAATAAAACTGTTCCTATGTCACTCTTTTTCTCGCATCTAGATAGAGTCAAACTGTCTGTTTTGTCTTTAATGTTTTTGACAGCTTCACGAATTTGTAGCCCTGAGTTCATAGATGAGGAAATTCCAACATTTATGAAATAGGTAATGATTTAAAATCCCCAAGAAATGTAATTAATAAATCTTTTAAATTTGCTAGAAATACTTTTACAATCCAAAAGGGGACAACCACCCTTATTCAACTAAAATATGTTGGTTCTCCCTTACATGAAATTTGGGTTGATATGCCTTCTCTTCTTAAGACTTTTAATATTAAAGTTGTATTAAAAATCTTGTTTACAGTAAAAAAACTTTTGAAAAAAGAATTCCCCCAAAATGCTGATGGATGTGTCTATAAGATTCCTTGTAAAATTTGCGTAAAGTTTATTACGGTCAAACTGGTAAAAATCTCGAACTAAGATTAAAACAACATAAATATAGCATTAGAACTGGACAAGATTCCAATGCTCTATTTGTTCATGTAAGAGATTTTAACCATCCAATTGATTTTCAAAAAGTTGAGAAAGTAGTATCAAGCAAGTCCATGGTCGACAGGATATAATTGAATCTTGTTTCATAAAAGCAGTTTTGACAATAATATGAATATTTCCTTTGGTTTATATAAATTAGATCCATTTATAAATTTAATAAAATTTGGGAAGAATTTAATTAATACACTGGACAAATAATAATTTTTAAATTTTCTTGGGTTTGAATAGTTTGTTGGTGAGTTGTGCAAAGGACCTGTCCAGTTGGGCCCGGGGCGGTCAGGTGTTTTTAACCGTTGTGCTATCTGATAGTGAGGTGTTGGCCAGACCCCTTATATAGCTTCCTTGGATGCTTTACTTTCATAGTTCCTTGATAATGTGAGTAGTCACGAAAACGCTTGGAATTTCTCTATTCTTTCAGAATTGTTTTGCATGATTAAAATATATATTTATATATATATTATATATATATATATTATGAAAAATTAAAGATCACAGTAAACAGGTGATTTCAGGGAATATGCAAAACAACCACTCTGAAAGAATAGAGAAATTCCAAGCGCTTTCGTGACTACTCACATTATCAAGGAGCTATGATAATGTGAGTAGTCACGAAAGCGCTTGGAATTTCTCTATTCTTTCAGAGTGGTTTTTTGCATATATATATATATATATATATTATATATATTATATATATATATATATATATATATATATATATATATATATATATATATATATATATATATATATGTCGTGCCGAATATGTAAAACTGGTCAGTTAGCAAGAACTCATTTAAAATTAAGTCCTTTCTAAAATTTTACCCTTATACGTTTAAAGATATACTTTTTTCATTAATGATGATGTAAAATTTTTTAATTTTGCACCAAAAGGAACTTAGAAAACTTACCTAACCTTATTATAACAAGCGCAATTTATTTTAGCCTAACCCAACTAAATATATTTCAGGTTTGTTTACAATAATTTAATACTAAACAAACACAGTGAAATATATTTTTTTCGTTAGGTTCAGATTGATTTTGGCGAAATTATTGCATACACAAATTTTCACTTGTCCTATATGGCAAGTTGAGCGTTGCTATTTAAGCCAAGATCGCAAGTTCTGCCTATTCGGCACGAACACACATATATATATATTTATATATATATATATATTATATATATATATATATATATATATTATATATATTATATATTATATATATATATATTATATATATATATATATATTATATATATATATATATATATATATATATTTATATATATATATATATATATATATATATATATATATATATATATATATATTATTTTATTTATTTATTAGCACTCTGGCCGATTCCCACCAAAGCAGGGTTACCCGAAAAAGAAAAACTTTCACCATCATTCACTCCATCACTGTCTTGCCAGAAGGGTGCTTTACACTACAGTTTTTAAACTGCAACATTAACACCCCTCCTTCAGAGTGCAGGCACTGTACTTCCCATCTCCAGGACTCAAGTCCGGCCTGCCGGTTTCCCTGAATCCCTTCATAAATGTTACTTTCCTCACACTCCAACAGCACGTCAAGTATTAAAAGTCATTTGTCTCCATTCACTCCTATCAAGCACGCTCACGCATGCCCGCTGGAAGTCCAAGCCCCTCGCACACAAAACCTCCTTTATCCCCTCCCTCCAACCTTTCCTAGGCCGACCCCTACCCCGCCTTCCTTCCACTACAGACTGATACACTCTTGAAGTCATTCTGTTTCGCTCCATTCTCTCCACATGTCCGAACCACCTCAACAACCCTTCCTCAGCCCTCTGGACAACAGTTTTGGCAATCCCGCACCTCCTCCTAATTTCCAAACTACGAATTCTCTGCATTATATTCACACCACACATTGCCCTCAGACATGACATCTCCACTGCCTCCATCCTTCTCCTCGCTGCAACATTCATCACCCATGCTTCACACCCATATAAGAGTGTTGGTAAAGCTATACTCTCATACATTCCCCTCTTTGCCTCCAAGGACAAAGTTCTTTGTCTCCACAGACTCTTAAGTGCACCACTCACCCTTTTTCCCTCATCAATTCTATGATTCACCTCATCTTTCACAGACCCATCCGCTGACACCTCCACTCCCAAATATCTGAATACATTCACCTCCTCCATACTCTCTCCCTCCAATCTGCAACTTCTCTTCAGAATCTCCTAAGAGCACAGTGTCATCAGCAAAGAGCAACTGTGACAACTCCCACTTTATGTGTTATTCTTTATCTTTTAACTCCACGCCTCTTGCCAAGACCCTCGCATTTACTTCTCTTACAACCCCATCTATGAATATATTAAACAACCACGGTGACATCACACATCCTTGTCTAAGGCCTACTTTTACTGGGAATAATCTCCCTCTTTCCTACATACTCTAACTAGAGCCTATATATATATATATATATATTATATATATATATATATATATATATATAAAATATATATATATATATTATATATATATATATTATTTTATGTCGTCCCGAATAGGCAGAACTTGCGATCTTGGCTTAAATAGCAACGCTCGTCTTGCCCTATAGGAGAAGTGAAAATTTGTGTATGCAATAATTTCGCCAAAATCATTTCTGAACCTAACGAAAAAAATATATTTGATTGTGTTTGTTAAGTACTAAATATTGTAACTATTAAATATTTAGTTGGGTTAGGCTAAAATAAGCTTTGTTTTAATAAGGTTAGGTAAGTTTTTAAGATTCTTGTGGTGCAAAATAAAAATTTTTTACATTAACATTAATGAAAAAAATATTCTTTAATGTTTAGAGAAATTTCAGAAAGACTTAATTTTAATGGTTCTTGCTAATTGACATTTTACATATTCGGCACGACATATATATAATAAAATATTATATCTTATAATTATATATATAAATAAATTTATATATAAATATATATTATAAATATTATTTATATACATATATTATATATATATATATATTAAATATATATATATATATATATATATATAAAATATATATATATATATATATACTATATACAATATATATATATATATATATCATATATATATACACACACACACACACACACACACACACACACACACACAATACAACAGCAGATGACTGAATTGTAAACTTAATTTTGGTTCTAGAATAAACTTACATGATAATTACAAGAGAATCACACACCAGAATCTTAAAAGATTAATACAAAAGTCAGCCCTGTATCCTCAGTAACTGATGTATCATACATGAATTCCACCAAGTATACTGGCAGATGGACCAATAGTTTAGTTGAACGGCACCAGGCTTACATCTATGATATATACCAATTTAACTTATCCCCACATTACAGTTTGTGGTATGTCTATTTGTCACACTAATCTAAAAATATATTCCTCGCTGGAAGTACGCTGATACGTTATTCATGGCATTCATAAATGCAACAAAGAACAATTCACAACATATTTCCTGAAACAATACACAACACAGTTTCTGAACAACTGACAACACAGTTCCTGGAACAGTTCAAACTATGTCTCAAATTTTTGACGTTTAGGTCTATTCCGAGCTCGATAATAGTCCAGGAGGAACCGAAGCTTCAACCAACAAGGAAAGACCGTACAAACTCTCTTATAAACATTCTCACCTTACAGCCGAATTTTGCAAAATCGTCCTCGAAAGACCACTCGTTGTTGATGCCGAAGGAGAAGACAGTACAGTTGCCCGGTTTGATGTTGAACCTGTGGTCCAGACAGACAAACTTGATACCGTCAACGGGTGCCGGAGGCTTACCTCCAAACTGCTCCTGGGGAGAGATGAGGAGATGATCACTGTAACATGAAACCTCTTCCACCCACACGAAACACATGAACAATGAAAGTCACAATGCCGTGGCCGGAACAATGCACGGGTAACCCCCAATACCGCGGCTGGAACAATGCACGGGTAACCCCCAATACCGTGGCTGGAACAATGCACGGGAAACCCACAATACCGTGGCTGAAACAGTTCACAAGTAACCCACAATTCGGAGGAGACACTCATGTAAATTTCTAGATCCTCCTTGAGCATTATTAAGCCGCTGCTTATATAGGAAGCGTTAAACCCGTAGAGTTCGTACAGCGCCTGGAGGGGGGAGGGGAATGGGAGGTAAGCAGGTTTGATCCAAGGATGTGGAAGGGTGGATCAAGAGCTCTTCACCGGATCCGCAACAGTAAACTTCCGTGGAGCAACACGCAGAAATTAGGCAGAAAGTATAGCATTTCACACTGGTATACCAAACTCTTATACCAAGTCATTATAGTATACCACGCTGGTATATCAAGCTATTATACCAAGCCATTATAGTATACCATGCTGGTATACCAACCTGGAGTTTACTTGGAGAGAGTTCCGGGGGTCAACGCCCCCGCGGCCCGGTCTGTGACCAGGCCTCCTGGTGGATCAGAGCCTGATCAACCAGGCTGTTACTGCTGGCTGCACGCAAACCAACGTACGAGCCACAGCCCGGCTGATCAGGAACCGATTTTAGGCGCTTGTCCAGTGCCAGCTTGAAGACTGCCAGGGGTCTGTTGGCAATCCCCCTTATGTATGCTGGGAGGCACTTGAACAGTCTCGGGCCCCTGACACTTATTGTATGGTCTCTTAACGTGCTAGTGACACCCCTGCTTTTCATTGGGGGGATGTTGCATCGTCTGCCAAGTCTTTTGCTTTCGTAGTGAGTGATTTTCGTGTGCAAGTTCGGTACTAGTCCCTCTAGGATTTTTCAGGTGTATATAATCATGTATCTCTCCCGCCTGCGTTCCAGGGAATACAGGTTCAGGAACCTCAAGCGTTCCCAGTAATTGAGGTGTTTTATCTCCGTTATGCGCGCCTTGAAGGTTCTCTGTACATTTTCTAGGTCAGCAATTTCACCTGCCTTGAAAGGTGCTGTTAGTGTGCAGCAATATTCTAGCCTAGATAGAACAAGTGACCTGAAGAGTCATCATGGGCTTGGCATCCCTAGTTTTGAAGGTTCTCATTATCCATCCTGTCATTTTTCTAGCAGATGCGGTTGATACAATGTTATGGTCCTTGAAGGTGAAATCCTCCGACATGATCACTCCCAGGTCTTTGACGTTGGTGTTTCACTCTATTTTGTGGCCAGAATTTGTTTTGTACTCTGATGAAGATTTAATTTCCTCGTGTTTACCATATCTGAGTAATTGAAATTTCTCATCGTTGAACTTCATATTGTTTTCTGCAGCCCACTGAAAGATTTGGTTGATGTCCGCTTGGAGTGTTGCAGTGTCTGCAATGGAAGACACTGTCATGCAGATTCGGGTGTCATCTGCAAAGGAAGACACGGTGCTGTGGCTGACATCCTTGTCTATGTCAGATATGAGGATGAGGAACAAGATGGGAGCGAGTACTGTGCCTTGTGGAACAGAGCTTTTTACCGTAGCTGCCTCGGACTTTACTCTGTTGACTACTACTCTCTGTGTTCTGTTAGTGAGGAAATTATAGATCCATCGACCGACTTTTCCTGTTATTCCTTTAGCACGCATTTTGCGCGCTATTACGCCATGGTCACACTTGTCGAAGGCTTTTGCAAAGTCTGTATATATTATATCTGCATTCTTTTTGTCTTCTAGTGCATCTAGGACCTTGTCGTAGTGATCCAATAGTTGAGACAGACAGGAGCGACCTGTTCTAAACCCATGTTGCCCTGGGTTGTGTAACTGATGGGTTTCTAGATGGGTGGTGATCTTGCTTCTTAGGACCATTTCAAAGTTTTTTATGATATGGGATGTTAGTGCTATCGGTCTGTAGCTCTTTGCTGTTGCTTTACTGCCCCCTTTGTGGAGTGGGGCTATGTCTGTTGTTTTTAGTAACTGTGGGACGACCCCCATGTCCATGCTCCCTCTCCATAGGATGGTAAAGGCTCGTGATAGGGGCTTCTTGCAGTTCTTGATGAACACAGAGTTCCATGAGTCTGGCCCTGGGGCAGAGTGCATGGGCATGTCATTTATCGCCTGTTCGAAGTCATTTGGCGTCAGGATAACATCAGATAGGCTTGTGTTAACCAAATTCTGTGGCTCTCTCATGAAAAATTCATTTTGATCTTCGACTCTCAGTCTGTTAGCGGCTTGCTAAAAACTGAGTCATATTGAGACTTGAGTAGCGCACTCATTTCCTTGCTGTCATCTGTGTAGGACCCATCTTGTTTAAGTAGGGGCCCAATACTGGACGTTGTTCTCGACTTTGATTTGGCATAGGAGAAGAAATACTTTGGGTTTCTTTCGATTTCATTTATGGCTTTTAGTTCTTCCCGCGATTCCTGACTCCTATAAGATTCCTTTAGCTTAAGTTTGATGTTTGCTATTTCTCTGACCATTATAGTATACCACGCTGGTATACCAAGCTATTATACCAAGCCATTATAGTATATCACGCTGGTATACCAAGCTATTATACCAAGCCATTATAGTATACCACGCTGGTATACCAAGCTATTATACCAGCCATTATAGTATACCACGCTGGTATACCATGCTATTATACCAAGCCATTATAGTATACCATGCTGGTATACCAAGCTATTATACCAAGCCATTTTTGTGTACCACGCTGGTATACCAAGCTAGCATAGATTCACATCATTACACAGCGTAGACTTCAATTCTTCATTACTATCAATACGTGAAGGAGACTTGGTATTCCGTTCATCATATAAGGACTTAGACTGGACACTATTCTGCTCTACTTAAGACTAGAAGAGCAAGAGGAGACTAGACTTAAAAGGCTTAGATTCTGCTCTTGACTCTCGCCCAGGCAGATCATAGCAGCTCTCCTTACTTTGTCTCCCTACGATCCCCGTTGGGGAGGGGAACCTTTACCAGCGTCGTCTTTGCCTTGACTTACACGATGAGCTACGCAAATCGTGTCAAGATCAAATCAACAAATGGTACCGTTGATGGAAAAAGGAGAAGCAGCCCAGCCACCGTGGAGAGAAGACGTCGTCGTTCCTGCTCTTCAGCTGAGCAACTCTGAACACTGTTGCTCGAGATTTTTCTTGGGTTATCCTGAGTAGTTCTTCACCAGAGCTGAGAGGAAACTTGCTTGCAGTCACTTCGAGCCCCATCCCACCAAGAGGGTAAGGCGGTGACCTGCTTGCTTGTTCACCCCTCTCATCCCCATCCCCCCATCCTTCCCCATCCTCCCCTCACCCAAACATCAACACTGGCCCACACACTAACACACTACATACATTGCTATCCTTCTGACTTTCCTATCTTCTTCTTTTTCGGCAACTTCGCTTTGGCGAGTTAACACAAGGCATTTTGACCATCCGGTAGCCCGTGTGGTTTTTTTAAAATCCGGCCGATCTTTGCCTTGGGCCCTTTCCCCTCACTACTCGAGGGTAGGCTATCTTTGGGGCTGACCTTCATAAGTCAGCTGAAATAGGATGTTAGATTAACATTAAGGAAAGATCCCTTTTTGTTAAGAAACTCCTCTGCCAGATGTTCCTTCCTAGACATCATGGCGAGGATACGTGTATTGATGGAAATCAAATGTTAATGAAAGAAATTCTAACATGTATTTGCTCGAACTCAACTGTTGCTCCAGTGGATGTTTTTCAAACCCACGCTGGAGCAGTACTTCTCCTCTCTTCGGAAAAAGAGTTACTTCAACTGCTGAAGCATGATGTGCTTGAAAAACTGAAGACTTCTGGTGTTACCCCAGTTGCACCTGAGAGCTATCAAGCTCAGAGGACTGTGTTTGTGGCCAGAATCAACAGTTTCATGAAACATAGCACAGTGAATGAAATTGTTGAGGACATTAATAAAGAGAATTCTGAATTTAGGGCTGTAGAAGCACATAAATTCTCTAATCCTAACAACAACAAGGTAACCTTAAAGTTAATACTTGAGACACCTGAGGAGGCCAAACTTGTGTGTCAAAATGGCTTCAAATGTTTTGGCACCAGATGTACATCTGACCAAATCTCTCTTGAACGATTTGTCAGTGTGACACAATGTTTTAAATGTTATGCCTTTGGTCATAACACCAACAAATGCAGTACTCAAGGGCAAATTTGTAGCATTTGCTCTGGCCAACATTCTTATCGAGATTGTAATAATAAAAATACACCCAAATGTGTCCTCTGCAACGGAAAACATCATGCTGTTTCTGCTATTTGTCCTGAAAGGAAAAAGGAAATGCAGAAAATTATTGAAGCCAAGAAACTGTCCACTTCAAAGAAGACCACTCCCAGGCACCACCAACGATGTCCCAAACTTCCTTCCCAGCTCTGCCTGGATCAAGTGGGACTCCTCAGGTCTCTACCAATGGTTCCAATGTTTGGAATTCTACCCCTCTTGGAGCGCCCCAATCTAACCCTCACATACAACATACACAAACGCAACAACAAGGTTCAGTCTCATCTATGTCTCAGGTATCCACAGCCGGGGATATGACGAGAGCACAACTAATGTATATGATGGCCAAAGACATAGCAGGTGGTGACATTCAACTCTGCTCTCAGGTTTTAAATGATCTGTTAATGGCTAATGGGATCACTCCCATCACTATCCCAGAAAATGTGAAGGCTATTATGACCCAGCCTTCTCATAACAAGAAGTAGGTACCCTACTCTACATCTAAAAATAAGCCTAAGTCATCCCTGGCTCAGGGATCGCCCACCTCGCATACCCAGGTTGTCAACTCCCCTCAACCCGATAAGTCAACACCTGAACATAACAATGCCCCAGAAATTGGTGCCTACTCTCCCGCTATTGAAGCTGATCCTGTTGAACAGGAGCT